GATAACAGCCCCCTGGGGGAACCACCAGAAGAAAGTGGCCAGGAAGCAGCATTTCGCCCTGGCTCTCTTCAAACCGACTCTCACTGCCGCATCGCGTTTGGACGTGTGTCTGTCCCTTCTGAATGATTCAGGGCACATTGAGAATAAAAACTGAAAGGGTACCCAGGGCCGCTGCTGTCAACAGATCAGCACGTGACTGCCAGTATATATGTGTGTGCACGTGTATATACATATAACATGATTTTTAAAAATGCTTTTGTTTTACAATTAAAAACAACAATGAGTACTTCTATGGCTGACAGGTTCAGAGGTGAGCTGTGTCCCACCGTGAGTGTCCAGTGGGGGTACCGTTTTTTGTGAGGCTCCCCACAGCCCTGCTCCCTGCCCCCCCCCTTCCTGTTTGCTTCTGGTTGCATGCTACCTACTTGCACAGGTGTCACCTGGCACATGAGACTGCTCAGCCAGAGTCTGCAGGGAGGCAGGGAATGCAGGTGATAGTAAGGCTGGGACCACAGGGGCAGTCCCTGGCAAGCCCTTTAAAAAGCCAGATCTTCTACAAGTGATGGATCTGGTCTCCGACTGGCTTAAGCTGGTGGGGGGGTGGGGGTGGGCAGAGAGAGGTTATAAGTTCATTTAATGGGAACGTGGGGATGTCTTCAGGTACAGCTGGATCCAGGGCCCGACAAGGAAGGACGCACCAATACCATAGAGATTGTTCCACCCTCGGGAATGAGGGAGACTGCAGGTATTTTCTGGGGCCACCACAATGAGCCACCAAGCAGATGATTTCTAAGAACAGAAGTGAACGGTTTCTCATTCCTTTTCGAATCACGTGCAGGTGGAGCTGTGCTCCTTCCCAAGTCTGTAGCAGACTATCCCGGGTTGTCCCTCCAGCGGGTTCCTGCTCGCCCCAGGCCTTCCCGGGCTCAGGATTCCTCTTCCTCTGACCCTCCTCTCACTGCATCTCCTTCTGCAGCCTTTCTCTTGTCGGGTCTCTGCTCTCATTGGATTAGGCCCTGTGGGTGGAAGAGCAAGCTCTGGTGCCAGAGGGGTTATGCTTCGGGCTGCTGTTTGAAGCCACCAGGCACTCCCTGGGAGGAAGATGAGGCTTTCTACTCCCCAAAAGAATTAGTCTTGGAAACACACAGAGGGTAGTTCTAACCTGTTCTATAGGGTCACGCTGAGTCGGAATCAAGTCAGTGGCAGTTGAATTTGTTTGTTTGTGGGTTTTGTTTTTGTTTTTGGAAGCAGAAGAGAGGACAGCCCTCAGCAGGATGGACTGATGCAGCGGAGACCGACTGCGAGGCTGGCGCAGGACCGGGCTGGGTTTCCTTCATTTGTAGGCAGAACTGTGTGAGTCGGATCTGACCCGACAACACCTGACAACATGCCCTCTGACTAAATCATCGTGAAAGACCCCATTTCCAAATGTACCTGTTTTGGGGGCTGCAAATCAACCACACAAAGAAGGGCCCCGGGAGAGCTGAGGGGACCACCGAGGTCCCCGGTGGTCAGGAGGTGCCCGGATCTGTTTGGCTCTCCTCTCGATGCTCCTGGAAACTTCTAGCTCCTTGTTACAAACTGCAGCAGGACGACCTTCTTGGCCGCTGGTCATCACCTGTCTTCAGTTAAAAGGTTTAATGGTTAAATGGTTCAAAGCGAAAAACAACAAAGAAGGCTGTTGCTTTTTAATTGAGGGGGGAATTCTGTAGGATTATTAAAAGATAAAATACACACATACAGGCGAGGCCTTCAAAAAGCCTGTGGGTCTAAACTTGATGGTGGTCTAAAATCGATTGCACAACTCTTTAATATGTGTAAAACATTGGGTTGTATGATATGTCAATCAAACACTGATAAAACAAAAGCCATTGGCAGGATCCCTCATGGCCCTGATGAAGCCCCTCTGACTAGGGGCCCAGGATGGGCAAGGCCTCATTCTGGGAGAGGCTCCCAGGCAGGCCACTGATCTCATCTTGACCCAAGGGCTAAGTGCTCCTGTTGAACATTTTCTGCTTTGTTATTGGAAAGCAAAACACCAAAAGTCTGTTCTCTTTGGGAATTAAAACATCCTCTACTATAGAAATTAAATGTTTTAAAATAAATGCGAGTTATTTACTTTATATCTATTTTAAAGCTTGGGGTAAAATGGAATGAAAGATCATAACCTTCTCCCACAGGCCACAGACCGTTTGGTGCCCTATGCCCCCCCACCCACCCCCCCACACACAGAGGAGAGGGCTGGTGTTCCTGCTCCTTGATCTTGGTCCCACTCCCCCCCTAGGCCCCTCCAGCTCCGCTCCCCTCTCTCAGCCCTTTCACTGGTGGCCTTGGTGAAAGTCCCTGTACTCTGGTTACCAAATCCTCTTGCCCAGCTGGCCAGCCTTCTCCTCCTAGGGTTGGTCACCTTCTGCCCTGGCGCCCAGGACCTTTTTGACTTTGGCTGAGCTTCCCCCAGTCTCCTTCCCTGGCCTGCAGGCTCCCACCAGCCTCCTCATGGGGGTGGAAGGGGGGCACTGTGCCTCTGAATGATGCTGACTGCCTCCAACTAGGGGCCAGTGGGCACCTCAGCAAGATGGCTGGGTGTCTCCACCACAATGGGGCAGGAACCACGCTTGTGTCCTGTATTCTGTCCCGGCCCCACCTGCTCCCTGTCTTGTCCAGCACCCTGTTGTCCTTCTACTCAACCTTGCTCAGCCTCAGCCTCTGGAGGCCCCCACCCACCCTTTCCCTCCTGCAGTCAGAGCCAGTCTGAGTGCTAACGTCTCTCCCCCCCAGCCCTGCCCAACCCCTGGGAGAAGGGTGTGTGTGGTAGCATTGGTCCCTACCTGGGGCCTTCTGCCTGTTTGTTCTCAGCTAGATGCAGAGCCCATAAAGAGAAGGTAGTTCCTGACCCTCTTAGCTCTGAGTTCGCCCCATCCTCAGGGTGGTTGGCCCCTTTTTGCAGCTGTCCTCCCCTTTGCCTACATCCCCTTCTCCTGGGCGCCCAGACCCCAGAGGCCAGCTGCTGAAGCTGAGGGCAGACTGAGTGAGTGTCCCCATTGCTGTGGAGGAAGAGCCACACAGACTGCCTACACCAGTAGGGTGGGGTGTCTCGTGGGGGGCAGGGCTATTGCCTGCTCAGTGTGTCCTGACCCCTCTCTGTGCCTTAATCTTGTCTGTTGAATGGGTTACCTGCCTCACCTCGCAGGGCATAGGAACAGCTAGGGGTGGTGGTGTAGGGGTTCAGGTATGTATCAGTGCATGAATGGGGGTCCGGGGGCAGGCTGCAGGGCTGAGTGTGTGAACGCCCCCTGACCAGGCACCCTCCTTCTGGGCCAGAGAGCCAAGAACAGCTCTGAAGGGAGGGGCCAAGTCATCATTTTCCCTCTGTGAGCCTCAATGTCGTCTTCTGTGAAATGGGCCTGAAACTTGTCTCTGGGAGAGTTGCTGTCCTTCAGTGCAGTCATAGGGACCCTATAGGGTGGAGGAGAGGTGACCCAGAGTGATCCCTGGACAAGAGTATAGGCTTCTATAGGGGCTGAGAGACAGCCTTGAAAACCGATGGGGTCATTCTCCTCTGACTTTTAGAGGAGACTGAGACTCCCTGTGAGTTGGAATTGACTTAGTAACAATGGGTTTGGTTTGGGTAATCTTTATGGAGCCAGGTCTTTCTCCCGAAGCTGTTGGTGGGTTTGGCAAAAAAGGAATGTTTGGGGGATGGACACTAGCCAATCTCCTAAGGAGGTCATGAACGCCAGCCTTGGACCCCCTGTGGTGAGGCAGGCGAGGGACCTAGCCTCTCCTAGACTGATCCTTGCAGGGAGGCCCCTCTCTTTGAGCCTTCTATTGCTCCCAGTAAAATGAGGGTCCTCATTCCCACTCCCCTAAGTGGTCATGAGAACAAAACGAAGCCAGATGTGTTTAGCACCGTGGCAGACACACAGTAGGCCTGCAATAAATGTGGTTGTTGTCAGGTGCTGTCAAGGTGGCTCTGACTCATAGTGAGGCTGGGTGCGACAGAATGAGACAATGACTGGTTCAGTGCCACCCTCACAGGGTTATGCTCCAGCCCACTGTTATAGCTACTGTGCCAATTCATTCCGTGGAAGGTTGTGTGAGTCTGGGTGGACTAGAGAAACAAATTCATAGACACTCATATGTGTAAAAGGAAGAGCTTTATATACAAGAGCAATGGAATATTGAGAAAACACCCAAGCCCAGTCCAGATCAAGTCCATAAGTCCGATATTAGTCCATATGTCTGATACCAATCTATAAATTCCTCTTCAGACTCACAAAACACATGCAATGACGCCGAATGCAGGAAGATCACAGGCCAGTGAGTGGAAAGTCTTGTGGATCCAGTGGCAGTGGAAGCATCTCAGTGCTGGCAGGGGTCTCCACGTGGCTCCTTCAGCTTCAGGACTCTTGCTGCATCAGTGTAGCTCCATCAGGCTCAGGGTCAGTAATGTCTCAGTAATGTCTTGCAGGGAATGAACATGTGTCCTGCCTCCAGCAAGCTAGTTATCTCCTTAGTGCCTCCAAATGAGGCCATCAAGCTGCAGCCTGATTCACAGGCTAAACTCCACCCCTTCACCCTTAGTAAGTCTCAAATTGACAACAGATTATGTAATGTAACTACCTCTTTTTGTCCACCGTCTACAAAGTATTACTGTTTCTCCAGGGACTGATCCCTCCTGATAACATGCCCAAAGTATGGTAGGCAAAGTCTTGTCATCCCTTCTTCTACCAAGTAGTCTGGCTGTTTTTCTATGATTTGTTTGTCCTTTTGACAGGCTGTGGTATATTGAACCTCCTTCGACAGCACCATCATCAAAAGGCACCCATTGTTCTTCAGTCTTCCCGACTCATTGTCCAGTTTACACATGCAGGGAGGGAGGTTAAAAAGACCCTGGCTCAGGTCAGGAGCCCCCACGTGACACCTTTACTCTCTGGCACGTTAAAGAGGTCTGCGCAACCGATTTGCCCCGTGCACTATGTTTTAATCTCTTTTCTTTCTTTAATACAAAATGCGTCATGAATCTGCGTGTCACCCTTGCACAGGGGCCATGCTAATCTCGGTATCCTTCCAATGTTAGTATGTGTGCTGCCGAAGAGAGAAGTTTGTCTTCTGCTCCCATGGGAGCTGTTTGGGGTTCCAAGTAAAGGAATTCTTCACAGCGGCAATCTGTTCTCTGTGGTGGAGGACAAGGGTGCCTGCCCACAGGTTCAGTGATGAGGATTTTTGTTTTCTGGACTCGGAGTTGCCATCCCTCCTAAGGCTGCAGTCCTTTGATCTTCATCCGCAAGCGCTTCCAGCTCTCTTCCAGCCAGCAAGGTTGTGTCGGCTCGGCTGCACAGCAATCACAGGTGAATACCTTTTCCTCCCGTCCCGATGTTGCGTTCCTTTTCCTACATGCACCCTTCCTGGCCTTAAACCACCCAGTTTGTTCCCTTCCAATGACTGCCTCAACAGGACCACGAGGGAGTGTTCTGGAATTATTCTTCGACTGTTCCCGTGGCCTATGCCTTTGCATAGTCAGTCAAACACCAGCAAACATCCTTCTGGTATTCTCTGCCTTCTTAGGTGTCCCTATTTATGGGGACGGAAACTCCGTGGGGCGCAGGGGCTCTGTCTGATCCTACGTACGTGGGATGGTTGGGGAACATAACCTTTTTGAGGTATTCCACGAAGTCACAGGGTAGGGTGGAGGGGTGTCAAGGAAGCGGGGACTTAAGACACCAAAAAAATGTGAAGGTCACGTGCCCCGGGAAGACGCCTGGGGCACACCCACCAGCAGCTGGGGTTTTACAGCTGCGCCACGCCCCCTCCCCTCCCGGCGCTCAAGTTTCTCCGAACTTTTCCGCCGCCCGCTCGGCGCCCCGCCCACCTCCGGTGACGCAACAATGGTGCAGAGCGGTGGCCAATGAGTGTCGGTGGGGGCCGACTGTGCAGGCCAATGGCGGCGGCGGATGGGCCCGCGGTCCTGCCGGTTCGGCCGCACTGCGCTTGCTGCCGCCGCCCGCCGGCCCGCCGCCCAGCGACTGGGCCGGGCGGTCAGAGCGCGGCTGCGGCGGGCGCAGGCGGCGGCGCCTCGGTGCACGCGCCCGTCCGTGGACCCTCCCCGCCGCCCGTGGGGACAACGCGCACTGACTGGCAGCGGGGATTGGGACAGGGCCGGGGTCCCACGGTGAGTGCCCCAGCCCGCTCGCGCGTAGCCGGCCTCTCCTTGGCGCTGGGTCCCTGGCCGCACCCGCACTCGCCCCGCCACCCGAGATCGGGTTGTGCCAGGAGAGGACAGCAGGCGGCAGGGCGCTTGCTGCCACCCAGCGTGGCCCCGGCCCTCACGGTGGGTACAGAGCGGCGGACGCCACTCGCTGTCCAGCGAGGCGGGGCCGAACTTTACGTAACTGCCCAGCGTCCCACGCGTGCCCACGGTCTCACCTGAGCGTACAGGCCCAAGCGTGGGGTGAGGTGCCAGGCATAAAGTGGCCCCGAGGGGCGCTGTGGCCACAGCCCCCCTGTAACTCACTCCGCGCCAGTGATAGTGGCCCAGTGTGTGGCCGGCCAGCTGACTGCCCCTGGCCCTTGTGACCCAGAGCTTACCCTTGAGAAAGGCAGTGGCAGCTTGGGCCGCGGCCAGAGCTGCAGCCGGAGCTCAGGCTTGAGGACAGTGCTCCAGCCGGGCCCCTGCGCCGCTGGGAGTCCGACAGGGGAGGCGGGGAGTCCAGGCGCTTGGTCCTGCTCTACTGATTGGCTGAGTGACCTTGGACCCTGCTGCTCCACTGGAGGACGGGATCCATTTTACCCAGTAGCTTTGCCTTCTTGCGTCCCCCAGAAACGTCAAAGTGTGAAGGGCTGGCGTCACTGGCCCACATACCCAGGCTGAGGCTAACAGTCTTGCCCTGTTCTCCTTCTGGCAGATGAGGAAGCCGAGGCCAAGTGAGGGACAGTGACATACGCACTCTTCGGAACCAGGTAGTCGTGTCTAGAGCCCTGTGTCCTGCCAGGGCTGGACGTGGCTGGGCCAGTGGTGGAGAGGGGCTACAGAGGCACAGGCACCAGCCCTCTGTGGTTAGGGTTTAGGTGGGGGCTGAGGGCAGGTTAGAGAGGGTTGGGGGACAGGACTGAAGGGCATGGTGAGGGGGGTTCTGTGTAGTCTCAAGGTGGGTGGGCCTGCGAGGCCCGGGTCGTGGAAGACCTCTTGTGCAGCAGGACCTGAACAAGACAATATCAGGGAGGAAGATCAGGTACAGCTAGATCAAGGAGTGGGAGGAAGTTCAGTGCCTAGGACAGAAGGAAGCAGTGGGTGGGGGTGGAGGATGGAAGCAGGGTGGGGTCTGAGAGATGGCTGGGAGTCCTTCTGTGGGTCTCCATTTTCTCCACCCCTCACCTGTTCCTTCCACCTGCAGGTGGTGGCCCGGAAGTCCATGTCGTGAGGCCTGGAGGCGCGTTGCCATCATGCCTTGGGACGCACGGCGGCCCGGGGGTGGTGCAGAGGGCGGCCCGGAGGGCGCAGGTGCCGCGCGCTCTCAGGCGCAGAAGCAGTGCCGCAAGTCGTCGTTCGCCTTCTACCAGGCTGTGCGTGACCAGCTACCCGTGTGGCTGCTTGAGGACATGCGCGCCAGCGAGGCTTTCCACTGGGATGAGCGTGGCCGCGCTGCCGCCTACTCGCCATCCGAGGCGCTGCTCTACGCACTGGTGCATGACCACCAGGCCTACGCACACTACCTGCTGGCCACCTTCCCGC